ATACAGAGTCTGTAACAGCTAACCTGAATATGGCAACGTGGCGAGGATGGCCAGGCACAGGCTGTGGTGATTCATTGTGCTGTACCTAGGGTTGCTGTGAGTGGACTGATGCCAGGCACCCAACACCAACACTGAGTTTGCAGTGAACCAGGTCTTCTTCTAGGCTCTTGTGTTCACAGTTTTGTTAACTACTCACATATAACACGTGAAGTAGGCCTGACAGGCTAGTGAACATACATGGACATGGAGCAAGGCCGCCAGGTCTGTTCACCATGAGCCATATAACCTTAACTGTGTCACCTGATCTCTTAGTGCCTCAGTTTTCTCTGTTGGGAAGCAAAGATATTAATAGTGCCTCATTGGAGGGTCGTTATAAAGCCTACATCACAAACATCATATGTATTTATTGTTGTTGCCTGCCGTTGAATTAGAGCCTGCTCATGGCGGACCCTTCAGCGGGTTTTCAGAGGCAGTGAGTCATATGGGAGGAGACTGCCCATCCTTCTCCTGCGGAGCAGCTGGTGGAGTCAAACCATGTGCCTTTGGGACTGCAGCACAGTTTCTTACCATTAGACATCAAAGCTCCCTCATATATAGATTGTTTTCTGTGTGCTTTTGAGTTGAAACGGACTCATAGCTGACCCTGCAGTGGATTTTCAGAGGCAGTAAATAGCACAGAAGACTGCCTGTCTTTGTTCCTCAGAGTAGCTGGTGGATTCGAATCAGCCGCTTTTGAGATTGAAGCCCAGCTTCTTATCAGTCAGCCACCAGAACTCCATATATATGGTGTTGTTATTGTTATGTGCCATCAAGTTACCTGCAATTCATAGCAACCCTTTGTACAGTTGCTCTGAACCCTGCCCTGTACTGAGCCAGTCTCACAGATTCCAACACACCTATCCCCATTACCCCACTTACTATGTCAATCCATTTCATCTGAGGTCGTTCTTTCCTGTCCTGTTGTACTGCCCCTCCACCCTTCCAAGCATGATGTCCTTCACCTAGGGCTAATCCCTCCTGGCCACATACCCAAAGTGTGTGAAACAGAGCTTCAAAATCCTTGCCTCCAAGGAGCAGCTTGGTTTCACTTTCTCCACTACGTAACTGTTTGTTCTTTTGACTGTTTAAGGTATGTTCAGTACTTTTCTCCAGCACCACAGCTCAAAGGCATTGATTTTTCTTCTGTCATCCTTGGTCACTGTCCAGCTCTCTGACACATACCTAATTATACATACATACATACATACATACATACATACATACACACACATACATAATTATAAAGACCATGACCTGAATAATGCACATCTTGATCTCTGGACTGACGTTGCTCTTTAGCATTCTGGAGAGGTCCCTGACAGCAGATTTCCCCAATGCTGTTAGTTTTTTATTTCCTGACTACCAGTTCCAAAGGGTTGATTGTGGAACCAAACAAGCTAAAATTGTTAACAACTTTAATCTCTTCTCCATCTATCATGGTGCTGCCAATTGGTCCAGTGTTAGAAGCCCTCATTTTCAAAGGTAAAGGAATTGAAACCCAGAGAAAGTGATTTGCTGCTTGTGAATGGTTGTGGCATTATCTGATCCCAGGCAGATTACTGGAAAGCCTGAATTCTTAATCACTTAAACTCTCTTGTATATTTTAGTGATGTGTTATGCTTTACACTTTGGCCCAAGATTACTTATTAAACCACTTCCAGGATGGAAGGAAATATAAACTGTAGATAAAAACACTCAGAAGATTATGGAAAGTAATGAGACTGGATATGCAGAGCCCTGAATTTTACCTGTGCCCTGCCTTGTTTGGCTGTTTACTTGTTTACCTAGTGGCTTAGGCCACCTCATCTATAACTAAGGGACTGGAACAGGCCTCTGAAGGTCTTTGTATTTCCGTGAACAAATGCATTAAAATACTGGATATATCCTGTGTGGTTATATTAAGAAAATTTTATCAAAGCCAGCATTTATCAATTACCTCATTTTATGGCATTGTGTTGAGAAGTCACATCCTCAAGATTACCATCTTGAACAGAATTCATGAAAGTTCTCCAACACCTAAGAGTCTAAGGCTTCCCAAAAACCTTTCGGCGTTGTGACTCAGGGTTGAGTCAAATTCATTTCTTCTGTCTCGAACTGTAGGTTTTAGCTTTAGCTGCAACATTCTCTTTACTACTTCTAATTTTCCCTAGAGGTTCTACTTCTTGGGATTACTGGGGATACTTCAGTATTGGTAAGAAACAAACAAACAAAAATGGGAAGTTTTAATCCATCAGCTGCTCTGTGGGAGAGAGTTGGGCAGCCTCTTCGTGTTAAGATTTACAGCTTCAGAAATCCTATGGTGGGCTAGCCACGAGTTTGAATTGACTCATTGGCAGTGGAACTTTTTGATTGTTGTTTGTTTTGCTACTGATGGGCTTGGTTTTTCCTCTTGCTGTAGACTGTGGTTCTCAGCTTATAAATCTAACTCCAGGGGGAAATCAGCTCTCTCCACCCTCAGTACAATTCTTATGAGTAATTCTCACACTTAGTCTGGACTTTGACAGCACATGTCACATTTGTCTTTAGCCTTCATAATCTTCTTCTTCCTGCCCTGATTTCATCTGTAAAGTTGCTGTCAGGCAGGGCACACAGTGAGAAAATGGCACTCTTGATGACAAGAGAAACAGCTGCCCTGGTTTTAATCTGAATTAAACTGAATAAATATCAGAGGACCGTTTTGGATCTAGAAAAATTTGTCAGTCAAAAAATCAAACTTTCTGTCAGTGTTTGATGATAAAATTTTTGGAGCAAATAAGAATTAGCCAGTCAGTGAATGAAGGAAGGAGAACTAGAATGTTCCTTAGAGGTCAGAATGGTAATATTTTGTCTCACATACTTCAGGTGTGTTGTCAGGAGCAAACAGTCCTTAGAAAAAACAGTATTCTGTGGAAAGGTGGAAAGTCAGAAATGAGAGAAAGCCTCTCTCTCTCCAAGATAGATTTATGCAGTGACCATAACCATGGGCTGGAGCTCATCAGAGATGGTCAGGATGGGGTTGCTGTGAGAACTGCTAACAACAGGAATACTGGAGACCCTGGATGATGGCAATTATTAGTGTGCCCAGTTGCTAAAGAAAGGCTGCAGGTTTGATTCCACCCTCGAGTTGTAAAGATTCGGCAGTCTACTTCTAAACCCAAAATGTGTCTGGAAGGCTGTGATCTGAGGCTGGTTTTGCTGGCTAGAAACAGAGGGTGCACACAGTCCCTCTTAAAATGGAAGGTGTTTATGCCCAACATGAGGCAAAATTCTACTTAGGCAAGAGATGTGTTTCTAAATGTAAAGCAAAGAACAACACAGGACTTCAGCGAACCAGAGATCTGGAGAAAGGTAACTTGGCCTTGGTCGGTGCCAGCTTCCAAAGCAGCTGTCTTGTACCCATGTGATGTATCCTGTAAGGATTTAAAACTACTTAAAATAAATCAGTAGAACTGTGAATAACATATATACATAAATAAACTAGGAAGTTTGTTTTTTTAAAAAGAGAGAGAGAATGCACACCCATATTTATTGCAGCTTTGTTCACTATAGCAAGGAGTTGGAAACAACCTAAGTGCCCATCAACAAACAAATGGACAGAGAAGCTGTGGTATATTCACACAATGGAATGCTATGCTGCATTGAAAAACAAGGAACTCTTGAAATATTATGCAAATTGGGTGACCCTGGAGGACATTATGCCTAGTGAATTATCTCAGTCACAAAAGGACAAATACTGCATGGCGCCACTGTTGTCAAACAGGACTGACATCAGGGCTGGGGGGAGACTGAGAAAGATGGGATAAATAATGTCTACTGCATTGAAACAGATGAGGGAGAAAACTGTTTAAAAGAGATATGTGATTAGGTATTATTGTCATAACAGGAGTCCAGAACAAAGGCTGTATAGTGGGGTGGACCTGGGGGAGGGATTGTAAACAATGAAAGTTGTTTTGGTTTTTTGTTGTTGTTTTTTTTTTCTTTTCAAAGAGAAGAGTGCACTGGGGCGGGGGGGCAGGGAGAAAAGTACAACAATGAATGAATGGAAATCCAAAGTCTCTGTAAATTTTCATTAAAATTAATAATAAGAAAAAATTTTTAAAAAATGAGAAAAGGCAAGATACTAAAAAAAAAAGAGAGAGAGAGAGAGAAATTACCAGGAAGGAGCAGGGCTGAACCAAGAATGAAAAGGCTAATCTTTTATGAAAGTTGGTGATCGCCAAAGGAAAATGCCTATGGGGATGGGGGGTTCTCAGGAGACAGAACAGAAAGCAGTCACCTTTTGTAGATAAAAGGAGTCTATTGAGAATGAATGGAGCCCTGGTGGTACAGTGGATTTAAATGTTAGACTGCCAACCAAAACGTCAGTGGTTAAACATCTCCCAGTGAAAATACAGCCAGAGTGCTTCTTTGATGACAAAGCTTAATCTCACATAATGTGGACACGTTGCGAGGAGAGGCTCTTCCTTGGAAAGAGGCCTCATGCTTGGAAAAGTGGAGGGTCAGCGAAAGAGGAAGACCCTGAATGAGATGGATTGACACTGGGGCTGCAGCACGGCCCAGCTTAGGACAGGGGTCAGATCTGTTGTTCATAGGTTGCTCTGAATCATTCTGGACTCGACAGTATCTAACAATGATAACATTACAGGAGAAAGATAAGGCAGTCTGCTTCCCTACGGATTACAGCCTCAGGAATCCCGTGGGGTGGTGCTACTCTGTCCTGTAGATAGATGGCTATGAGTCACAGTCATAACAGTGGATTGAGGGCAATGGATTTAGGTTTGGTTGAAAGAGAAAGTTGCTTTTGGTTTTTAGGTGTAGAAATAGAAAGCACAAGGTGAGTTATTGGCTCATGCTTCCCTAAGGAAGGCAGGATAGAAGCGCAGGGTGGAGGATTGCCTCCATTCCCACTGGAGAATGAATTATGAAGCCAAGGCATCCCAACATTCCAGCCTGTGTGATCGCGGTTATCTTGCATTGACTAAGCTGGCATGTCTTAATGCTATATTACAAGATAGAATCTTCAAGGTGGTTTACATTCTCTGGATCTATTACTCTTTCAGGGATTGTGTGTTTTATCTCTATCCCAACATACTAAATAGGGCATGTTGATTTGTGCCCTTGAAACCATTCTCACAGTGACCCTACAGCACAAAGTGGAACTGCATGATAGGTTTCCTGGACTACAAATCTTTGCAGGAACAGATCACCAAGTCATTTCTCCTGCAGATCTGCTAGTAGGGTCTAACTAACCTTTCACCAAGCAGCCAAGCACTTAACAGCTGCACACCCAGGGCTCCTATGTGGAAAGTACCCCAAAGCCAAAGTCATTGCCATCGGGTTGAGTTCGGTCATAGTAACTCTCCATTATGTCTCCAGCAGAGCAAGCTGGGATATTTCCACTACGAGCCTTGATTAGCATCCTGGTAGGTTATGTACTGCACCATTAGGGCTGCTTACATGGAAAGATACCCAAAACCAAGCCCACTGCCGCTGAGCCCGTTCTGGCTCGTAATGACTTCCCATCAGGTTTCTGAAGTTATATGCCTTTACAGTAGAAGACTGCCCACCTTTTTCTCTCACAACAGGCTGATGGAGCAGGTGACTAGCCTTTTGATTATCAGCCCGGGAAGTTACACACTATGCCACCAGGTCTGCTGGTGTGCAAAGATAGTCTTCTTATTGCCAATTTGAATTGGTTCCAATTCCATCAGGCTTTGAAGGCTGTAAATTGCATGGGAGTAAATGACTCATTTTTCTTCAATTAGCTGGTGGATTTGAACCAGAAGAGAAACTCAGTCTATGGGTTAGCAATACAGCCCTCTGTACACTATGCCACCAGAGCTCCCTGCATGGAAAGGAGTAATTACTAAATACATTTGTGGAAACCTGATGGAGACTGGTTATGAGTCAGAACTGACTCTGTGACAGTTGAGTTTGAATTTACGTATATATGTCTTGAATGAGTTGGAAAATCCCCAGGACATCAAAATAGTCATTGGGTAAAAAATTTCATATTTACTGTTTTCTTATTTCTTTCATTATTTCAAGGCTAATTAGGGAGATAGTTTTCAAGCATTGTCTTGCATAGGACATTTTCCTACAACTCAGAAATAAATGAAAGTATTTAGCATTTTTTAAAGTTAGGAGTTATATTCTATCTCGTATCAGGAATATTAAATGTTATTATGTGCCTTCAAGTTGGAACCGACTCATACTTGGTCTTCAGAGGCAGGAAATAACACAGAAGTAGATTGCCCACTCATCTTTCTTGCATGGAGCAGCTGGTGGATTTGAACCACGTGCTTTGGGATTGTCAGAGCCTCTCCTTAACATTAAGCTACCAGAGCTTGTATTAAATATGTTGTTAGGTATCATCAAGTTTGAGTATGACTCATAGTGACCCTATGAACAAAAGAGCTAAACTCTGATCTATCCTGAGCCATCCTCACACTTCCTGACATACAAGAGCCCATTGCAGCAGTCACTGTGTCAAGCTACCTGGCTAAGGGTCTTCCTATCCTTTGCCGACGTCGCCTCCACCTTTTCCAACATCATGTCCTTCTCCAACAAATAGCCCCTCCTAGAAACATGCTCCAAGTATATGAGGTGAAACCTCATCATTCTTGCCTCTAAAGAGCACTCCGGCTGCACCCTCTCCAAGACATACCTGCTTGTTCTCTTGGCCGTCCATGGGATGTCCAGTGCTCTTCTCCAACACCATAGCTCAAAAGGCATCAATTCTTTTTCTGTCATCCTTATTCATTGTCCAGCTCTCAAATGCATAGCAAGTGATTGGAAAGACCATGACCTGAATCAGACACACCTTAGTCCTCAAACTGACATCATTACTCCTCAATAATTTAAAGAGGTCCCTAACTGCAAATTTTCCCAGTGCAATCTGTCTCCTTATTTCCTGACTGCTCATACCAAGGATGTTAATTGTGGATGCAAGCAAGATGAAGCTGTTGACAGTGTCAATCTCTTCTCCATCTATCACGATGCTGCCTGTTGGACCAGTTGTAAGAAACTTTGTCTTCTTGAAATTGAGATGTGATCCATACTGAAGCCTGCATTCCTTGATCTTCTACAGCAAGTGCTTCAAGTCCTCCTCACTTTCAGCCAGCAAGGTTTTGTCAACTGCATAACACAGGTTATTGATGAGTCTCCCTCCAATCTTGATGCCATATTCCTCTTCATTGAGTCCAGCTTCTCAGATAATTTGCTCAGCATACAGACTGAATAGGTATGGAAAGAGAATACAACCCTGATGCACTCCCTTCTTAATTTAAAAGCATGCAGTGTTTCCCTGCTCTGTTTACACACAGCCTCCTGGTCCAAAAATAGGTTCATTATAAGCACAGTTAAGTGCTCTGGGATTCCCATTCTTCTCAATGTCAGCCACAACTTGTCATGATCCACACAGTCAAATGCTTTTGCATAGTCAATAAAGCACAAATAGACATTCTCTGATATTCTTTACTTTCAGCCAGGATCCATCTGACATCAGCAATGATATCCCTGGTGCCACGGCCTCTTCCAAATCCTGCTTCAACTTCTGGAAGCTCCCTATCTATATACTGTTCCAGTCATTTTTTAATGATCTTCAGCAATATTTTGCTTGTATGTAATATTAAGATATTGTTTGATAGTTTCCACATTCAGTTGGATCAACTTTCCTGAGAATGGGAACCAATATGGACCTCTTCCAATCCATTGGTCAGACAGCTGTCCTCCAAATTTTCTGGCAGAGACTGGTGGGTACATCCAAGGCTGCATCTGTTAATTGAAACAAGTCAATTAGTATTCCATCGATTCCTGGGGCCTTATTCCCCCTCCCCTTGCCTTCAATGCAGCTTCTACTTCCTCCTTCATTACCATTGGCTCCTGTTCATATGGTACTTCTTGAAATTTTTCAGTGTCAATCAATTTTTTTCTGGTACAGTGATTCTGTGTATTCCCTCCATCTTCTTTTGATGCTTTCTGGGTCATTCCATATATTGCCCATAGCATCTTTCAATATTGTGACATGAGGCTTAAAGTTGTTTTTCAGTTCTTTCAGCTTGGAAAGTGCAGAGCAAGTTCTTCCCTTTTTATTCTCTAATTCGAGCTCTCTGCACATTCTGTTGTAATACTTTGTTTTGTCCTCACAAGCTACCCTTTGAAATCTTCTGTTCAGCTCTTTAACTTCAGTATGTTTTCCTTTGTTTTGGATTCTTGGCTCTCCAGTGAAATCTTCAGAGTGGAAGAAATCATTGGAGAAGCTCAATATCAGCAGTCAAAACTAGGCCAGGGGCGAACCATGGGTCAGATAATCAATCACTCATATGCAAGTTTAAATTGAGGAAAGAGAAAATGAAAATAAGTCCACAGGAACCAAGATATGATCTTGAATGAATTCCATCTGAATTTCAAGATCATCTTAAGAATAGGTTTGGAAAAAAAATAGGTTTGAGGCATTGGACAGCAATGATAGAAGATCAGATGAGTTGTGGGATGATATCATCCATAAAGAAAGCAGAAGGTCATTACAAACTCAGAGGAGAAAGAAAAAATAAAAATGATGTTAGAAAAGACTAAAAATTTTCACTTAAGCACGTTTTAAATATAGACAGATTCAATAAGTGCTCATAAATTAAACCATAAAGAAGTCATACAGTGGCATGCATAGTCAGTTTTGCAATTTACCATCAAATACTTTAAAAATTTCAGAGGGGGGGGTGTGGCCCTTCTGGTATACTGTGTAACTTGTTAAGCTGCAAACTGTAAAGCTGGCAGTTCAAGACCACCAGGTGCTCTGAAGGAGAAAGATAGGAAGTTTCTTCCTGTAAAGATTTATGACCTTGGAAGCTTGGTGTGTGTGTGCACAAAAGTAACAGATGTCTTTGAGAGTAACAACCCTCTCTCTTCCACCACAATTTCTATTTCTAAACCAAACAATTCAGGTAGACTCAATGGAGATAGTGTTCTGACGAGCTGTATTTGTCTGCTGACTTGACTTCTTGACTTCTCTACCCATAAGAAAACCAACCCACTGGTGTATGATAGGGGTAAGGGAGGTTCTCCAGCTAAATTTCCTAATGTTAGAGCCCTGTGCCTTTGGGCAGAAGATCTTTGATTTATAGGCATGGTGGGTCTGCAGAGCACATTCAGGAACTCTTGCTGAGATCAGCTACATCTGGCAGCCGATATGGCTTGTTTTTCCCAGAGTTGATTGGGAGAGTCTCCTAGCAAGCTTTTACTTCTTGATCCAGACAGGCCCCCATCCTTGGAATAGGCAGCTGTGTATTCATGTGGGTTTAGAATCCAAATACAGTTATGAAAAGTTCTACTCCCTATGGAAACAGCAATTTGACTGAAAGAGGGCAAAGAGAGTAGTGATGGAATCTCTGTATCTGTTTCTTCAGGAGTTTTAATGTATTAAATGCCCAACCAAATTACATTTGGATTTGCTCTGCAAAATGGATTGTTCACACAAGATGTTCCCCATTTACATTCTTTTTGAATTATGGGTTGTTTCCCTTCACCTATTCATTTCTTCATTTATTTTAGAAGTTTTTAAGAAGCAACTGACAGTTCCCTGCCAACATAGCAGCCGAGGTGCGTACTTCTCAACTTGACAGAGGTTGAGACACAGATAATCACAGTCTAATGTAGGGACAGGAAAGTGCTGCATGGTAAACAAATTCTAAAAAAGCCATCCCACACACACAAAACTACTTTTCCTAAAGCTGTTCCAAAAGCTTACTTGATTGGTTGTTGCTTAGCAATGCAGGGACTTTCCTGGTGACTTTCAAAGATCAGCATGACTTTGTCAGAGCCTAGTTTATTGAAGCTGCTTCTACATGTGTGGCAGGAAAGAAAGGCTTGAGACAGTCACCGATTTTCTTTAGGAAATGACTGGGTTTGAGTTGTCTCATAAAGCAGGATACATAGATACACTTTGGGGTGTGGAGGGGCAAGAGAAAAATGGCGCTTTTGTGGGAGAGATCAAAGTGAGTAGTGAAATAAAGTGAGTATTATTTCAAATAAAGGATGCTCAGTGGATACATTTGCACGCCTTAAGGCTGGCCTGTTGGGACCTGCATGCCCTGCTCCAGTAATGTAGGGTGTTGCACTGCCAACCCAAAGGCCATGCCTCTCTGGTTGTTCCAATCTAGCAGCGGCTCTGCACGAGAAATAGGGGAAGGCTTCTCTCAGGCAAGTTAAAGCCTTGGTAACCTAATGGAGGCTCCGTTAAGAGTTGGTGCTAACTCAACAGCTGTGAGGTGTTGAGTTTATGAACCACCAGGCCTCCCATTTGGGAGAGAGGGACCAATCTCCTGAAGCTCAGAGACTTTTCCAGCAGAGACTCTCTTCCATACCATTTTCCACCCCCGAGGCCCTAGGAATCTCTATGCTAGGGAAGTAAGCTTCTCGCTACCAGTGCCCTCCGTGCCCCTCTCCTCCTCTACCTCCTCATCTCCTTTTCATCACGACCACTTTTCTCCCTCTCTCCATTCTCTCCCATCATTACCTCTCCATTCACTTTACTCTTCCCATTTCCCCCTCTTTTTTCCTGTTTCTCATCTCTATTCCCAGTTCTCATACCTCTACCCCTCAAAATTGTTCATGTAAGCTTGAAGCATAAAAAGATTTCTAAAAACTGAGCCCGCACGTAAAAGCTTGTGTTGGCAGTATTGTTAGTGGCTGTGGAATCACCTACATGTGATGACTCCTTAGGTCGATAGTAGAATGCTCCATAGAGTGTTCAAGAGAGTTTTAGGAGCAGAGTGCCATGCCTGCCTTCCAAGATGCACGAGGGTGGGTTGAAACACCAACCTTTCAGCTAATGATTGAGTGCTTCACCAGGGATGTTATTATTGATGTTGCTGAGTACCACTGAGTCAGAACCAACCCATAGCTGACCTTCCAGCCATTTTTCAGAAGCATTTAACTACATGCGAGGAGATTGCCATACAGAGCAGCTGGGAGATTTGAACTGTGTGCCTTTGGGATTGCAATGCAACCTCTTACCTCTAGGCCAGCTTTCACATAAAATGTTTTTCATTTACATTCTTTTTTTGTCCACATATTTGCATAGTGGGTTATTCCCATTCACCCATTTATTTGTTCTTATTATAACAAGTGTTTATGAAGCACATGACTCTGTTGCCTGCAGGCAGGGTCGTGAAATGTCTACTCTTTGCTTTGGCAGATTTTACAATCTGGTGGAGACACAGATATTTAAAATAAGTGCCAAAGAGTAGCCCTTGATTAGTTGATCAAATGCTGGAATATTAAAAGGTCATCAAGAGAAGAAGAGAGGTGGTGATAAAGACTCCTGTACCTCAGTGGTGTTCCAGCTTTCCATTCTTACATATAAGGAAAAGCTGGCTGTAGACAAACTCAGAGAGCAAATGCCTCCCCTAGCCATCCCCAGACCTGGAGAGCTGTAACTGGTTCTTATGTCATCCAGTGCTGATAGGGTGGCCTGCAGCCAAGCTGAGGTTGAGCATGGAAGAAGAAAGGCTGGCTTTGAACCAAGCTGAAGGCAGAATGACATCAGAGGATGAGTTCATCTTGGCGCAGGATAAGAACTCCAGGACAGTGTAATTTGGATTTGAGTCAGTGATGTAAGTCAGTGGTCACACCTTATGCTTAGCTGTCTATTTGCATGTCGTTGTCTAGCCCTTTCATCATTCCTGTGTACCAGCTCATGAACAAAATTCTACATATGAGCTGTCAAGGGGGACCTGGGGGTCAGAGAGGGTAAGCGAACAACACAGCTCAGATTTTAAAAAAAGAAAAAAAAATTCTTCCAGTACAAGCCTGCCCTCTTTTTATTGGGAGAAACATTTCTGAGGTGGATTTTGGTGCTCTGAAAGTTTTTCAAGACTCATATAGCCTCTTCATTTTGTCTCCTAACTTAAGCTTATATAACAAAGTCAGGCTTTTATGCACTGAACTTATAGTAGGGTCTTTTTAGTCACTTGAAGTGCAACTGAGAGCTGGACAGTGGATAAGGATTTCAGAAGAAGAATTGATGCCTTTGAGTTGTGGTGTTGGAGAAAGGGTAATGATTAATTCCATGGACTGCCCAAAGAACAAGCAAATTTATCTTGGAGAAAGAGCATACAGATGCTCCTTGGAGGCAAAGATGGTGAAATTTCATGTCACATCCCTTGGGCAAGTTGTTAGAAGAGACTATTCCCTGGAAAAGGACATCATGCTTGGAAAGGTCAGCAAAAAAAGAGATCTTTAACGAGATATACGGACACAGTGACTGTAACAGTTGGCTCAAGTATGTCAGGGATGATAAGGAAGGCTCAGAATAGAACAGGGTTTAGAGCCATTGTTTTTGGATCACTCTGAGGCATACTTTAACTCAGCAGCACCTAAAAAACAACATAGGTCCACTTGGGATCAGAATTAACCCAGTGACAGTGGGTTTGGATTTGATTTTACTACTTCTGCTAGAAAGGAGGCGTGGCATCCACTTCCACAATAGCTTGCCTCCAGAAACCCTATGAACCTGGAGAGAGGATGAAAGGTGCCCAAGCGTTGAAGACTCTCCTTCATAGGGTCGCTATGAGTCACCTGCGACTCGACGGCACTTAACAACAACAACAACAACTTCTGCTAACCTGATTCTTGAGCTGATCTCATTTTTATGGGGTGACACCCCCCCAGGTTTTGAGTTTTCTTCCCCCCATCCCCACCCCCCAGAGGATAGAAGGAGAATTGACGCTTTTGAGCTGTGGTGCTGGAGAAGAGTATTGAATGTACCATGGACTGCCAAGAAAACAAACAGATTCATCCTGGAGAGGGTTAAACCAGGCTACTCCTTGGAGGCAAGGATTCTGGGGCTTCGTCTGACATACTTTGGACATATTGTAAGGAGAGAAAGGTCCTTGGAGAGGGACATCAAGCTTGGTAGGGTAGAGGGACAGCGCAGGAGGGGAAGACCCTCTCTGAGGTGGATTGATTTCAGTGACTGGGGTACTCGGGATGGGTGTGTCAGAGGGAATGAGATTGGCACAGGATAGAGCAGGTTTTAGGGCTGTTGTACATAGGGTTGCTATGAGTCGCAAACGACTCGACGGCACATAACAACAACAACCCCCCAGGTTTTGAGCTTCCCCCCCCCTTTCTTTTCTACCTCACCTTGTCCCTTTGACCTGCATTACTACCTGGCTATTTCTCTAGAACACTATTGGTTCAGTGGTAGACTTCTCAGCTTAAACGGGGTCACCTTGGTGTAAAGTTGGTTAAAGTTAGGTGTGGCCATCCCCACACAGCCCTTGCTCTTTTTCTCACTGGGTTTAGGGAGTTCCCCCCTCCACCTCAGCATTCACCCAAAACCCAAAAGTCACTGCTATAAAGTTGATTCTCAGAACAGCAAAATGTTGGTTTTAAGGCTGTAAATCTTTATGAGAGGAGATTTCCCATCGTCCTCTCTTGGAATTTTTTCATGGAGCAACTGGTGGATTTCAGCTGCTAATTTTGTGCTTAGCAGTGCAAGTTTTAGCACACTGCACCATCAGAGAGAGCTCCTTGCCCTTCGCCTGGTGCTTCCTAAGTCTGTTTGATATGGGTCTGTTTTGTTCATTAAACAACAGGTTCTCTAAAGGAATGATCTATAATTTACTCATCTTTGTACTTCAGCATTCTGCATAACATCTGGTGTATAGTACTGGCTCAGTAGATTTCCTGAATGAATAATCAGGTATTTTATAAGATTTTAAAATGCAAAGTTATAGGAAGTTATGACAGTAAGACTGTAAATATAGTTTTTCAGTTATAAAAAGGTTTACAATTGAAAGTGTAACTTTAAAAATACAAAATTTTTTAAAGACATTAATGGGGCAATATTCAATGAGGGAAGAAATTTTTTTTTCTATATTTTATTAATTTTCATAAACATTTACAGAGATTTTGGGTTTCCATTCATTCCTTGTTGCACTAGTCTCTCTACCCTCCTCCCAGTTTGTTCTTGTCCAAATGCCACAGTGCTTGTCAAAGCCAGTTCTGATTAATCTTCTTTGTCAGTGTGTCCTTTGCCATTCCCTATCACTCCTCCCTGAGAGAGACTTCACCCTGAGTCATAAGGAAAAGGGGATGGCGTATTCTCTTAGCTACTTCCTGCTGGAAAGGGATGCTGTAGGTTTCAGGGTGAAGATCTTCTCTCACTACTCTAAAGGGCCCCTTTGGCAGTAGGAAACACATAGACTATTATGGAGATTGATTTTGGAATTTAGATGCACTCTTATTGATTGTGCTTGGCCGTACATGTTCATATCCTTGAAGATGTATCATGGGGGTGTTGCAACCTAGAAGACACAAATTTGACTAACAAGTTATAAGTACATGAGTCCAAAAATTATGGAAAAGTAAAAGAAAAGATTCTTTCATTGTTTTACAAACCCTCCCCCAGGTCCCCTCCACCATGTAGCCCTCGCTCTAGTCTCCTGTGATGACAGAAATACCTAGTTATATATCTCTTTTAAACAGTTTTCTCCCTCCTCTGTTTCAGTGCAGTATACATTATTGAACCCATCTTACTCAGTCTCTCCCCAACCCCAAGGACAGTCCCATTCTACAACAGTGGCATCATGTAATATTTGTCCTTTTGTGACTGGGATATTTCACTCAGCATAATGTTCTCCAGAGTCAACCATTTTGAATAATATTGCATGAGTTCCTTGTTTTTTAATGCAGCATAGTATTCCATTGTGCGAATATACCACAGCTTCTCTAGCCATTCGTTTGTTGATGGGCACTTAGGTTGTTTCCAACTCCTTGCTATTGTGAACAAAGCTGCAATAAACATGGGTGTGCATGGAAGAAATGTTTTTAACCTCTTATGATGAAAACTGTTTTTTTCCCTCTGTTGTTGGTTATGTGCCATCTAGTCAAAACCAACTCATAGCTGACCCTCTTGAAGATTGTCAGAGCTATAAATTGTA